AAAACAAGTTTTGAATCCTGGGATGACTAATAGTTGTTATAGCTAGTTGCATTGGGCTTAGGCTTGGTGAGCCTTTATTAGTCACGAATATTAGTTTTTTCAATGTATTATAGCGTCATTAGCAGTTCATTTAAGTAAATAAAGACATGATCACTTAAAATAATAATAATAATAATAATAATAGATACTTGTCTAGAAATAAACTAATGTAGTTGCATTTCGATTATTTCAAGATATTTTTTTTGTATTATCCTGGTCTATTTTGATTGCTTTATTATTTTGTACTAGCAGCTTAATCAATTTAAAGCCAATTTAGTATATTATTCATATACAAAATATTGGGGTGAACCCCATACTAAATTATAATAAAACCTGCTCTGGTAAAATCTGCATTAGTATAGTGTTTTTATTTATTAACATGGATTTCATCCTTATATGTATAATGCAAATAGTGAACTTAAACAAAGTTTAGCGCAAGATTCAACCTGTCATATTATAAAATAAAACAGCATTACTATTAATAAAAAAAAAAAACAATTATATAAATATAATAAATTGTTATGTAAATTTTTAGATAGATTCTATGTTTTAATAATTTATTTATAATAAGCAAATGATCTTATAATTTGCAAGTTAAACAAATATTAGTTTACATTAAAATTAAATATAAAAAAAGAAAAACTATATCTCTAATAAATTTAATATTTGATATGATATATTTAATATACTTTACTAAAATGTTCTTATAAAACTTCTCAAATGAAAGCTTGTATTTAAATAAATCATATTTACTATCCAACAAAGAACCAGATTCTAATAAAAAAAAGTCTTTATTATTAGATAAGAAACCACATTTATCATTAAATAAAGAGTCATATTTGTCATTAGATGAAGAGCCAAATCTGTTATTAAATGAACCTTTAAATAATGCATTTTCTTTAAATAAAAAATCGTCTAATATATTTACTTAAAATATTAAAAAAAAATTAGTAATTTAAGAAATTCTAATACTAAAAACAAACCTAAATCAGGAAAGAGTTGGATATGGAAATATATGAAAAAAGACAAAATTAATAAAAAAGTTAAATATAATATATGAATCAGTAATAATGATAAAAAAAAAAAAGTATTCAAATGATTTTGAGCTTACAACCAGTACAATGAATTTAGCTACTCACCTTCGAACTAAACACAGATTAGATAAAAATAGATCTTTATTACCACTAAGTGGTATACAAGAGATAACCCAATTACAGTCTATTCAATTAGATCCATTGCAATATACACTACCAGAATTATTTAGTTGTAAAATACCATTATCAGAAAAAAAACAAATCAGAATTACCTCCTGATTCTTATCTTGAATAATTAACGATATGCAACCCTTTAATATTTTAAAAAATAAAAAGTTTCATGATTTTTTATATAAGGCAAAGTTACAGTTTTAATTTCTGAATAAAAATACATTCAAACAAAAAATATATGAAGCAGTAAACTAAAAATAGTTTGAAAAATTTAATTACCAATACATTAAAATTCTTTGCATTTACTATAGACCTATAGACCCAAAACTACAAACCTTATATTGAAATTATAGCCTACTGGCTTTCTTCAGAGTTTGAAATATATAAAGCTTTGTTTACAATTGAAAGTTTTCTATATCCGCATACTTCAGAATATATTAAGAATTGTCTACAAAAAGAATTAGCTAAATGAGATTTAAGTAATAAATATGTAGCAGGTATAACTAATAAATGCTGCCTTAATAGTAAAGACAATAAAAGATATTGAGATTTTATACATAAGGTGTACAGCTTATACTATTCAGCTCAGAATTACAGATAGTTTAAAACTAGCCACTAACTTGATTAATTATGCAAAGGATCTAAATACACTTGTTGCTAGAAAAGATAAGTTTAGAAAAAAGTTACAATTAATACAATTTGAAATAGCTAAAGAAAAAAATCCTTCACTTAATAATAAAGATATCTCAGTTTTAGATCCAATATTCAATGACACTATAACTAGATGGAATTTAACTTATTTATTATTAGAGCGGTTACTTTTTCTTTATAAAGCTATTAAAAAGTTATAAATAGATCTTACAAAAGACAAAGAAAGAAATATTAGAAATTTTGCTAAAACATTAGAAAACTTCTTCTTAATGAAAAAGAATTGTTGAGAATTCAAGAGTTAGTTAAGTTGCTAGGTCCTTTTGCACATGTTACAACTATAATAGGCAGAGATTATTACTCTACCTTTTCAATAATGTTATCACTAATTAAAATATTACAAGAACATCTATTCAAAAAAAAAAACAATACTTAGTCATCCAATTGTTTGTAATATTTGTGATGAGATAGAACTTTCATTTGGAAATTGCTAGGATGAACCAGAGGTAGAGAGATACATTGCTACTATTCTCAATCCAAGATTTAAGGATCTAAGCTTCGAACCAAAAAAACTAAAGCTAATTAAAAAAGAATTAAAATACAGAATAGAGATAGCAAAAAATAAATATCTAACAGCCTCTGCTAAAAATAATCAATCTTTTTCTTTATTAAATTTATTATTTGAAAAATCTTCTCAAGAAGTTTGTTCTATCGAAGTCAAATTAAAGATGTATTTTGACATACCAAAAATAACAAAATATGATCTTTTGATTCTTTTTATAAAATACATAACTTGTTAGTTTTTTGACAAGATAATAAACTAACTTTTCCTTTATTAGCAAAGCAAGCACGAAAGTATTTAGCAATTCCAGAAACTTTAGTTCCATTAGAGCGTCTTTTTTCAGATGCTAGTAATATTATAACTGATAAAAGAAATCACCTTAATCCCAATACAGTTCATGATCTGCTTTTTTTAAAAAAAAACCAGCACTGTTTTAATCTCTATCTTGATTTAAACTAATATAAAAAAAAGACAAAGTTTAATGAATATTAGTTTTAAAAAATTTAAAAGTTGACAAATATTAAACAAAATATTAGCTTATTAAATTTTAACTAATCTTGTAATTTCTGAATTTTGTATTGTTTTTGTTCAAATTTGCTTAAATAAAGTTAGTTCTTATTAGAGAAATTATTTTGAAAAAACTAACAGTATAATATAAAAAGATCCAAATGCTATACTATTATAAACACTTATTAACAAATCGTGCAAGTTCTAAAAAAGCAATTTTATGTATTATTGTTATAAATTAGCAAAGTTCTACATAAAGAAAAAGTTCATATAATGATTTATATAGTCAGTATTCATATGCTAATAGTCTAATTAGAAAATCAGCTAAGTTAGCTAAGCCAATTAAAATTTATCAGCTTAGCCTAGCCAATAAATTTTGATCAACCAGAATCACTACTCTTAAGAAACTTTGTTAATGAAATCTCTTCTCTCTAGGACACCATCTTCACCAAAATTTTCTGTACAAGGGCATCTTCTGCTAGTTATCTTGTATCAAAATGCTTCTGGCTTGCATGCCGAATATATAAAAGAGTTAAGAGATGTGCTGATAATCTCTACAAAAACTACCTCATCAGAATACAAAGCAATATTATCTTCAACAAAATTTTTATTTTTCTTTGGATGAAAAATTTGGGACAAGTGATTGTCAGAAAGAGTTTCTCTAAGTTTTTGTATATAATATTATTTTGATATATAACAGATAACAAAATTTAGTAAAACTATACAATATACAAAAAACTCAGCTACATGATAAATTTTAGTTTATAATATCCAATTAATTTATTTGTTATATAAAAATATAAATTTGTCACACTTGAATATATTAAACCTGATTTTGACCAATCAAATCGCTTGATTTTGTAAGCAAAAAATAAATTATTTTAAAAAATTAAAAATTTTACTTAATAAATTGAAAATTTTATATAAAATAGCATATTATATAATATAAAATTTTATTCTGAACAACTTTTTCTAAGCTAAAAAAGTAAATTG